GAGTGAATCTATTCCTGGACATCTGATACCTAACACCAATAATATAGCAAGAGTAGCACACCAAATTTGATGGGGTTTAAGGTAGAAGGCAACCCATCTTAGAGGGAAATATATTTATACGGATATATATATATATATACACACACACACACACACACACACACACATGGCTCAACCTTCAACAACATGTTACTTATCTCTTATAGAAGGGCTTAATGGCTCCTGGGTGAAATACAATCTTCATACACTTTCCCCTAAGAAACCACTTTTGGATAATCATAACAAGCAATGCAAAATAAATTATTTCAGTTCTGCTTTTGGGGCAGGGTTTGGGGTTCGGGATGGAAACATCCAAAATAAGGTGGTGGAGAGGTGTAATGGTGGTGGGACTGGTGTTTGAATATCAAATGTAATCAAATATTGTGAGCAACTTTATAAAAATTAAAATTAAAAAAAAGCTTTCATCCATCCACACAGGTGAGTGGGCTGAGCACATGCAGACTTTGCACACAGGAAGCCCAGAGTTCACCTCAGACACTACCTGAGAGCCAGTGGCAAGCCCTCCCTCCAGAGCTGAATGACTAGAGGCTGGTCACATGCAAAGCAAGTGCCTTAAAAACTATGTTATGCTGAAAGTAGACCATAGACAGAACATGATTGCTACTCAATGCCTCTTTTGCAAAACACAGCACCAAAAGGAGAGAGAGAACAAAAGGGAATGCCCTGCCACAGAGGCAGGGTGGGATGAGGGGGATGGGAGAGTGGGAGGGATACTGAGATCATTGGTGGTAGAGAATGGGCACTGGTGGAGGGATGGGTACTCGATCATTGTATAACTGAAACCCAAGCACAAAAATTTGTAAGTCTACAACTGTACCTCATGATGTTTCATTAATAAAATTAAAAAAAGAAAACTATGTTATGTCCCAGGCTCTAAACCATGGTAATTTTTTTTGTCTTCTACCATTTATAGAAGTCATTATTTTACTCTAGTAGGTTTCTTTGGGGGGACAGCTCCCTAGTAGTGCGCAGTAGGCTTGAAAGCTCCCACCAGTGATTCCTGGTAGTGCTGGGGAGGGGTGCACAAAAAAATGTGTCGAAGCCCTTAACCCTGTGTACTATCTCTCTGGCTTCCTACTCTCATATTTTTAGATTCAAAGCTGCAGGGTTTTGGGGCTGGAGCAATAGCACAGCGGGTAGGGCGTTTGCCTTGCACGTGGCCAACCGGGTTTGATTCCCAGCATCCCATATGGTCTCCTGAGCACTGCCAAGGGTAATTCCTGAGTGCAGAGCCAGGAGTAACCCCTGTGCACTGCCAGGTGTGAGTCCCCCCCCCCCCCGCAAAAAAAGGAAAAACAAAAACAAAACTGCAAGTTTTTGTTAACTTTAAGATCATAAACCTGAACTCGATAAGAATTTCCATAACTGGGGCCAGAGAGACAGTACAACAGGTAGAGCACTTGCCTTGCACACAGCCTGCCTGGGTTCAATTCCTTGTACTCCATATTGTTCCCAGAGCTCCACCAGGAGTGATCTCTGAGCACAAAACCTGTGAGCACTGTCAGGTATGGCACCAAAACAAAAATAAAGCAAAACAACACAAAAAAATTTTTAAAAAGAATTTCCAGAACTAAGGAAAAACTGAACTCATCACAAAAAGTTACACAAAACTGAATAAACTGCTAAGCGTGATTATAATTTTGTGATATTTCCAGGGTTTTTTTTTTGGGGGGGTGCACAGGACTTACTCCTGGCTCTATACTCAAGGATCACTCCTGGAAGCACTTGAGTGACCCAGGATGCAAGCACCCTTTTCGCTGAATTTACTGAAGTATATCTTTTTTGAGCGATAGCACAGCGGTATGGCATTCGCCTTACAAGCGTTACAAGCGGCCAACATGGCCGACCTGAGTTCGATTCTTCCTCCCCTCTCGGAGAGTCCGGCAAGCTACCGAGAGTATTCGATATGCCAAACACAGTAAAAACAAAGTCTCTAATGGAGATGTTACTGGGCCCGCTCGAGCAAATCGACGATCAACGGGAGGGCCTTTATTAGAATTCATTGTAGCATTTTCACTTATTTTATTATTTTCAATTAGATCACTGGATACCAGATACACAGTTACAAAATTGCTCATAATAGGGGCTGGAGCAATAGCATAGCAGATAGGGCGTTTGCCTTGCACGTGGCCGACCCTAGTTCAATTCCCAGCATCCCATATGGTCCCCCGAGCACCGCCAAGAGTAATTGCTGAGTGCATGAGTCAGGAGTAACCCCTGTGCATTGCTAGGTGTGACCCAAAAAGCAAAAAAAAAAAAAAATTGCTGATGATGTCCCAACAGTGTATATTTCCAACTACCAATGTCCCCAATTTCCCTCCTTCCATGCCTTACCCCCAGTCTGCCTCTATGGCAGGAACCTAAAGCATACTTTTTAAATGAAGGTACAAAATTAACTTTTTTTCTCCCTTCCTGGTCTCTTCAGTATCTGAAAACATTTAAGATTCTTTTCGTGACAACATAGTTGGTTATACACATCTGTTCGGTAAGAATCAATTTTCTTCATAACACAATTGGTTATAGTACCAAGAGCACGCTGCTTATATTAACAAGGCTTAGACTAAAATGTTACATTTGAAGAGAACTTTACTGACATCTGTGACAACTTCCAGCAATCTTAAAATGAGTTCCTTTATACAGTCAGGCTAAGTTTCATGCAAACAAATTAAGTTGACGATGATTATCTTTGGGGGAAACAGATGAACAGTGACTGCAGAGAGAAAAATTACATTTGCACCGCTGTCTATATTAGAGTCTAGTTCTGTTTGTCTATGTCAACTTCCAGCCTTTGAGGTTTGCTATATGCCTATAAAATTCAACTTGGATCCCGAATTTTCCTTCTTTGCTTCACTATTTCCACAGTAAGATTTCCAAGGTCTCCCATTCATCTGACTTAAAACTGGTGAGGAACAGCCCTTGCACCTCCCTAAAACTGGTCCTGGACTTGCTCCCTTCCTACTCACCAGCCTGAGTTCAGGGCCTTGAAACTTGGGGTTTATAAGAATGCCCCCTGTTCCCCACAGGTGTGCAGATGCTGGTGAATTTCCAATCAAGCGGACAAGCGAAAGGGAGCTCACACCCACGAGTGTGTCCCCTCGGCATGCAGTCATTCACCAGCTCCCTTTCTTAAAACGCTGTTATCTCGTTTGGTCACCCAAAAGGAGAGAGAGAACAGAGGGGAATGCCCTGCCACAGAGGCAGGGTGGGATGGGAGGGATGGGGCCGGGAGGGATACTGGGATCCGTGGTGGTGGGAAATGGGCACTGGTGGAGGGATGTGTATTTGATCATTGTATAATTGAAACCCAAGCACAAAATCTGTAAGTCTACAACTGTACCTCATGGTGTCTCACCAAAAAAAAAAAAAAAAAAAAAATGCGCTGTTATCTCTAGCTCCCAGGACATTGCTAATAGGAGCAACCTTTTAGTCTCCTGAGCCCAGGGATTCATTTCCCTGTGTCCAGTGAACACGCAAACCTTGTACCCAGGCTATGTCTGACGAGAAGGCAGAAAGCAAGGATGAGTGAACAGACTGGCAAATTTTACTGGCCTCCAAGTCCTGAGCCACAGACTCAAACAGGAATTGCCAGGAAGCATTCATGATTTCGTATTTGCTTGCTTGCTTTTTTCTTTCCTCTGCTGTTTTTGTATCACACCTCATGGCACTGGGGGTTCCTCCTAGCTCTGTGCTCGGGGGATTGTGCCTTGTGGGGCTCAGGGAGCCACTGAACCTAGACCTCCGACATGCAAAGCATGTGCTAAGCCCATAGTGCTGGTCCTCTACGCCCCCAATTTATTTTGGGGGGGGGAGGGGTGCTCATCATTGTTTAGCTGGGCTAATACAAATGAGGATATCATGAGGAGTATCTCTTTAAATCTTGGTGTTTGTATATCTGTATGTGAAGTAGTTTGGGGTATTCTACATAGAAGAAAGAGCCCAGAATGAATTATTGATGCATAACCAAAGATCAAATTAGATAACAATTACAGTTATGATATGAAACAAAACTGTTTTGAACCATAAAGTTAGGGTGGACATAGAAGATGACCTATTTGGAGATAAGAAACACATTGACTTGCTGACCTAATGGATATGAGGAACTCAGGAAAAGAAAAAAAAAATCAAAAGTAACTCCTAGACTCTGGGCAAAAATGGCTAAGTTTGGACTGCACTGGTTAAACGGTGTTGCTACTTCCTAAGATCAATGACGAGTGTTCAGAAGACTGTGTTCTGGGAGACGTCACCAGTGAAGAGAGAGAGTTAGGAAACACATTTTGCTTTCGAGTCTCTCTTGCTCCAAAGTGCCCCAACCATTTCTTATTGATAGGCTAAAAATAAATGTCCAGAATTCTCTATGCAGCTTCATTTGAACGACAACTAAGAGGTGAACCATTCTAAGGGCAGTCAGCTGCCAGCAGCCATGGATGGAAATAGAATAATAGGTGAAATTGGCTGGCATTCACAGTGCGCCAGGAGCAGCGCTATATATATAGATATAGATATAGATATATTGCTATATATATATACATATATATCTGAAGTGCTTTCCCACTGGAACATGCAACAACTGTTTTTTTGGGGTGTTTTTATCATCAGTGTTATACAGAAGAGGAAACTGGAGTTTCCTTTTGTTGGTTTTTTTTTGGGAGGGGGGATCATACCTGGCAATGCTCGGGAGTTGGTTCTGCACTCAGGACTATTCTTGGCAGTGCTTGAGGAATCATGGGATGTTGGGGCTCGAACCTGGGTCAGCCTTATGAAAGACAATTGCCCTATCTGCTGTACTATCACTCCAGTCCCACAAAAAAGGTTTCTTTATTCAATTTTTTTTTCCTCTTTGTAGTGTGAGTTTGGGAAAAGGGTGATAGAATAGACAGATGACCTTGTTATTCATTCTTTCAGGTTTCAACAAAAATAGAGCGTCAGACTGACTGCACTTGAAGAGAATTAATTAAAACCTAAATGTGGCAGATGTGAAGGGAACCAGGTTTGCTAACATAACTGCAGTAACAGAACTGGATAAACTTCAGATCCTACTGAGGTTGCCTATTCTATCCTAGTACAGGGTAAAAAATAAAAAATAAAACAAAAAACCTAAATGTGATTTTCAGCAACTGTGCAAAGGAAGATCCTTTGCATGTAAAAACACTTCTTACATAGTATGAGGTAGCAAACTTAAGACCGCACAGATTTCTTCCCCTTGGTTTGGGGGCCACACCTAACATGCTCAGGGCTAACACCTATCTCTGTACCCTGGCAACATTCCTGGGGGGTTCCAAGAACCAGTGTGGTATTGGGGATCAAACTAGGTCAGCCTCATGCAAGGAAAGCACCTTCCCTGCTATTCTTTCTCTCCAGCACTGTACAGAGATTTTTAAACCTTAAGTCCTTTCTTCAAAAGCATAAAATCAGTACATCATGGAAGACGAGCAGGCACCTGAAACTAAATTCTGAACTGAGAAATGCAAAACAAGCACATTTCCCAATCGAGGCGGAGGCTGCGTGGGAAGACTTCAAACAAACATTTTCCGAAGGTGTTTACAGAGTTCTAAGATAATAGATTTTACAAAACCCGTTTGCTATAGTCATGGCAAAGTTAAAATAGTCACAATCTAAGATCTTAGACAATGGCCAATGTTCCAGGACCTGAGAGAAAGCTCGGAAGGCATCAACATGTGCCCAGTTTGATGCCTGGCACCACATGAGCCCTGGAGCTTCACCAGGTAGAGCACTGGAGGGATGAGTGTGGCACTAGCAGCAAGACTTTCCTGGGCCCGAGATGAGACCACCGGGCCCCCTCAGCTGGAACAAGTGTGGCTGAGTTGCCCCAGGACCCTGAAACCTGCTTGGGGAGATTCTCTCCTCTCCAAAGCTTCCCCACAGAGCCCAGGTCCTTCCCGGTGGTATCAGACATGCCTCTGACTCCTCTGGCCCAGAGGACAGTGGCGGCAAAGCCCAGCCACACTCAGCCAGTCCTGGGAACTGCTCCTGCCCCATTTCCCAAAGCCCTGAGCTGCCTTGGAACACAAAAGTAGTCCAGCTACCAGGCTGTGGACGGACCTGCAAGATGGAGCAGACTCCCGGCAGGCTAAGAATCACCCACCAGGCTGTGCCTGACTTCCGGGCATCAGGGATGCTCATTAGATGGTTTTCAGTTCCTGCGGAGTAGAGGAGGGGTCCTCCCTAAAGGTGCCCAAGGGCTCCAGAACACTCCTGGCTGCACTCTGTGCAGTGCTCTGGGGCGCAGGTCGGGAGACTGGATGGTGCCAGCAATCAGTCAAGCCTCAGCCTGTCAGGGCACACAAGCTCTCCAGCCCGCTGGCTCTCTCCCTGGTGGGGCTCGCAGTCTGTTGCTGCTGTTTTGTTCTGAGGGAGGTGGGGGGCTCCCAGGCCATGGTCAGGGTACACCCGGGGTTCTCCTATCAATTCTTGGCTAACTGAGCCTGGGTTACACTCAGCAGGGGCTCCCCAGGCTACATCCAGTGGTACCAGGGGGTGGGGCTGGGGTAAGTGGTACAGGTGACCAAACCTGGGTCCCACACATGCAAAGCACACATTCTACCATGAACTCTCTCCCTGGCAGCATTTTATTGAAGTAGTAGATTTTGCCTTAGACAGTGAGCAAACTCACTGTGGAAATGTACAATGCAACCTAGTACTCTATGTGCTTCCAAAGAGGAAACAATGTTTCACAAAGTAATAGCTACTCTGGGGGGGGGGGGGCACACCCTGCGATGCTCAGAGGTTATTACTGGCTCTGCACTCAGGAATTACGCCTGGCGGTGATCAGGGGACCATATGGGATGCTGGGAATCGAACCCGGGTTGGCCACGTGCCAGGCAAATGCCCTACCCGCTGTACGATTGCTCCAGCCCCAGTAACAGCTACTCTTACAACAGTCTCTGCATATAGTCTCTTCCCATTCACCCCGGCCCACACCAGAGCAATGGTACGGCTAGGGTACTTGCCTTGCACATAGCCCACCTGGGTTTGATCCCAACACCCCATCCAGTCCCCCAAACCCTGCCAGGGGTGATCCTTGAGCACAGTACGAGAAGTAATCACCGAGCACAGCAGGAAGTAGCTCAAAAGCAAAAAACAAAAAAAAATTGTTTTTCTCCTCTTTTCTTTCATTACTGCTGCAATAATCGAGGAGTCAAAGACTAGTTTGTAGTGGGTGGGGGTGAGGGGGCACCAAGAGTCACAATAGCAGTGCCTTCGGGAACTCGTACACAAGCATGGGTAGTGCTTTGTCACTGGTCCACATTTCCTTAACATCGGTTTTTTGTTTTTTTGCGGGGCGGGGGGTGCATTTTTCTGTATTTAGGTGTATTTCTCCAAATAGGTCTATTTGGAGTGTGGTCCTCAGGGCTATTCCTGGCTCTGTGCTCAGGATCCCTGATGATCCCTGGTGGAGCTTGGGTGACTGTGGAGTGCTGAGAGCAACAGGGTGGGGGGAACCAGGGTCAGCTGCAAGAAAGTGCCCTAACTCTGGCACAATCTCCCTGACCCCTTTTACAGAAAACTACCAGTTGCACTGGATCAAAACTGATTGACAATTCAGTAGGAAAGCATTTTCATCTATACCAGCAGTTCTCAAAGTTCATTGCAAACTCAGAGGTTATTTTTTTTTCTTTACCATTTGTATTGAAGTATCATAATTTACAACAGAAATCATTCTAAAACTCATGGTTGTGATCTGGCCCTCAAATATGTTATTAAGAATATTAAAAGGCGTTAGGAATTTTAAAAGCTTTCTAGGTGATTCAGAGAAGAGAAGTTTGAGCACGACTCATTTCTTAGGCACATACAAATCTAAACAAAAACCTTTCTAGGACCAAGGTCCAGATTCCTAATCCAAATCCTTTTTCCTTGCACCACGCGAACAGCCCACGAATATCGGAGTTCACAACAGCAAGTTTCTCAAAAACACATACACACCTCTGAGCTGAGTGAAAACCTAAGACAAATGAAATTGGAAGTTAATTACATGGAAGCAGAAGTAGCTAAAATCATCAAGGAATTAAGCATGTCCCTTTTTAATTTCTTATTTTTTATTTTGAGGCCACACCTGGCTGTCTTCAGGGCTTACTTACTCCTAGCTCAAGGATCACTCCTGGAGCGACTTGGGGGACCACAGAAGGAAGGTGCCAGGGCTCAAACCCAGGCCAGCCAAGTGCAAGGCAAGCACCAACTGTACGATCTCTCCAGCCCCTCCCCTCTTTTTCGTTTGGGCCAAACCTGGCAGTGCTCAGAGCTTACTCCCCGCCTTGTGTTCTAAGGACCCTCCTGGGGCTCAGAGAACCATGTGGGATGGCCAGCGGCTGAACCCAGATAAGCCACACGGGAGGCAAGTGCCTCAGTCCTGTCCTATCTCCCCAACCTCCAACTTGGTTTTTTTTTTTATCTCACTCTTCTATACCACCACCTTCCTTTCAAATCTATATTTCCTTCCCAGTATTTGCATTATATTAGACTTAGCAAGCACTATGAAACTGAAGTCTTTTTAAATGTCACTATTAAATTCACAATGAAACTTGTAGTTCTGCTCTTTTGATTTTTGTCTGCCTGCTTGTTTGTTCTGGGGCCACACCTATGCTCAGGGATCACTGCTGGTGGGACTCAGGGGACTACATGGGGTGCTGGGGATCAAACCCAGGTCAGGCATGTGAAGGCTATATTGCACTATCTCTCTGGCCCTTATTTATCTTTTATGGGGGGAGGGGGAGACGGAGCGGTGTGGGTGTGTGGACAGTTCTGGGAATTGAACCTAGAATTCTCAGAAGCAAGACTGTATTCTACTGCTGAGTCCCATCCCTGGCCCCGGGGAGAAAAGTGGGTTAATTTAACATTTCATCACTTCTTTAAGATTTCTATTTCCTCCTGGCATGCAGTCCAAGGCTAATTGTAACTAAATGCCATTTTCAGTGAAAATAAACTCTCATCACTGACATCTCAAACCTCATAGAATATCTTAATAAGATTTTTAATTATTAAAGATATTGAAAGATTAATAGCTTTTCAGAAGATTACTGAAAATTGTTTTATACATAATGCAGAAATGCTTTTGGAAGGGACCTGTATGTCTAAACAAAGTTTAGTTGAGTTTTTTTTTTAAACCCTGCAAGTCACTTTGGATACTTGTCATTGTTCAGCTAATAACTGAATATTGTAGCTACTACCAATATTAAAATAAAGAAGATTCAGGTTTGAATCCTAAAATAAATCTTAACTCATTTATTGTGTAATCTCTAGCACATTAAGCTCTCTGAACCAACTTCCTCAGTTCCTGAATAGTTACATCTCACTTACAATAATTTATAACTCTAAAGCACTATTTCCCAAAGAGTGTGATCCCTCCCCAGATGGATGCTGGAATGCAGGGGCATGGTAGTCTCAGGTGGAACTTCAGAAGGGGATACTTTTGTTTTTCTTTGAGCAAAGGTAGACTTGGGACTGGAGAGAGTATAGTGGGTCGGGTACTTGCCTTGCACACAGCTGACCCAGGTTCCATCCCCGGCACCTCATATGGTTCCATGAGTTTCACCAGGAGTGATCCCTGAGTGGAGCCAGGAGTAACCTGAGCACAGCCCCCCCCCCCAACACACACACACACACACACACACACACACACACACACACTAGACCTCCAGTAAAGCACTGAGTACTTTTTTTTCTGAGAAAGGAATGATACAATTTATTATTCAATTTATGTATAAGGGTAAAGTATAAAATCTCCAACATGAATAAAACCATTCAAAACAATTCTCTAAACAGGAACAGTTCAACTCTTTTCTTGGGGGAGGGGGCGAGCAGGAAACACACCTGCTTTACTCCTCGCTCGGCTTTGGGAACCACAGGAGATCAACCCACGGCTGAGGGCTGGCCAGGCCAGTGCCTTAACCACTGTACTAGCTCATCAGCCCCATTTTAACTCTTAAATATAAGCAAAATTGCTTTACCCAAGATCTGTACTCACAAAACAAAATCTGCTCAAAATTCAAATTCAGTAAGTTAACCCAAAGCATACATTTCATTTGATCCCAAGAGGGAATGTTTATTCTTGA